TGATTGAAGAAACTCACTCAACAGTCACATCGTATGACCACTGTGTTCAGACTGTTCACAAGAGCTTTGCATGAATGCAGCAAATATCTTAAGTGGCAGTACTAAGTCTTGCATATCGTCGCTGTTGTGACAAAATCTCGTATCTCTTAAATGGCAACTCAGCAGGAAAGAAAACATTCTCAACTTGAATGTACATTTAAGGGGAATTCCACTGTATTTCTGCATAATTAAGTGGTTAAAACATCAACAAAGTCATTCAGAGTGGTTTGATGTGAAGTGCAACATTCTAGAGAAACTTAGTGAGTCAGAATTGTTTACAGTGGTGGTGATAGGAACCAGACGTCCACAGAAAGTTATTACAAGAAATGGTTATGAATTCACTGTCTGATGCCTGAGACGTTTTTTTTTTTTTACGGTAGTTTTTAGAAGATTTAGGGCAAAAATTTTTATTTTTTTAATCAATTCATGGTGGAGACCTACATTTAAGGTGCTAAAAGGCAAAACAGTCCCAAAAGAGACAGGTTTACCACTTTTTTACCATCATCAATATTACATATAGAAACTCAGAAGAGTTAATTGGTGGTTTTGGGATAGTAAAAATGGCTCTATTTGTGTTGTAGACAACATGACCCCTGGTTCTTACTGTCATCATTATGAAGAAATCTGAGACATTAAGTTTATTTACAATGACCGTTTCACATCAACCCACTCTGAATGACCTTATTTACATCTCAACTATTGAATTATTTAGAAATCTTTAAAAATTCCCCTTTAATGTAACCAGTTTTTGGGCCTTTTCTAATTGAGGACCTTCTCTTTCAGTCCTTTAGCTGGGAAATGTTCAGGGCAGATGAGCAGACATCGAGGAAGATACAATTAGATTTACTAATTAGAGCTACAAGGTTCTGATACGACAGTGACGACATGCACCTAAAGGATCTTACAGCACACACAGCGTTTAACAACTTGCTGCTTATGTCCTCATCTAGACACCTCACACACAAGACTCTGTGTAGAGAGCTTCTTCATACATGACTGCTAAATTTCATGTACGTATACAATAAGACTTTTGCCAGAACTAGGCCTAAACAGCAGACTAAGCTATGTGCCTTCAGACAATTATATTAACTTATTTCAGTTTCCGAACACAGACAGAAGTTAGTAGCAAGCCTGGCTCAGAAGTCTCTGCTGGACCTAAAACCAAACTGAAGTGGCTACTCTTGCAGATCCATTACAGATCCCATACAGAGTTTGGAGTGTTTACACAGCATCTTTAATCAATCTATCCATGCTCCGCCCACAAATGCGTTCCTTCGTAGCTGATATTGCTAGGTTGGACAAGCTCTACGGAAGGCTGGTAATAGTCCTGTTCAACCAAATGAGAAACAGTAGTGCACAACTAAAAATTTCAACTTCGTGTATTAATTTCAACTATGTTTGGGTACTCAAGTACTCGGTTAATCGGTTTTCAAATACTGAAATCAATATTCGGGTATTCATATAGATTTCATTTTGATTTTTATACAGATTTCATCCCAGTAAGACAGGAAAAATATACTGGCCAATAATTCAGTGAAACATTAATTTTATGTTTTAACAGGACTGTAAAATATGAGTATATTATACTTTGCTACAAAACACTGACTGCCTGAACGTGAGCGCGTTGCCAAGGACATGTTGGCACGGCGAGTCCTCATCAGCACACAATGTTGTAGCAGTTAGCGTTGGTTCATTAACTCATCTGAAGAGGCAGCTTCTGTTTCTTATCTGATATGAACGGGTATTTTAATAATAAACATTTTAAAATTTTAACCTCCAATGCTAACATACAGCCTCACACTAATTTTGGCCAAAATCTATTTTTAGTCCTTTTCGTTGTTGCTTTTCCTTAAATTGGATATTAACTGGACACTCTTAGGCTACGTTCACAATACAAGCCTCATTGCTCAAATCCGATCTCTTTGACATGATGGTTCACACTCGTTTAGGTAAGTGATTCAAATCTGTCATTAATGTGACGAACCAGCGTCCTGAAATGACCCTCATGAGCTCATCCTACTCAGTAACGTCACGTGAATGAATCATGTCATCATCAGAACAAACTAACGAGCAGAACAAGCTTCGCTGAGAAGATCATTAACTCTGATCAGCTCTCATCTTCATTATTAGAGCGAGACGAAGGAGAAACAGGTGAGATGAGCTGCTTTTCCACCGTTTACAGACTTTAACTTCTGTTCGGCGCTGCTGCCATGGTAACGCTGAATGATGGTGCACGCGTAGTGAAAAAAAGCATATGAATTCCAATCTGAGCGTCATGTTAAGGTCTCACGGCCACGAATCGGATACGTATCCGATCTAGAACCACATATGAAAGTGGCTTTGGTCAGATCTGAAAAGATCAGATTTCCGTGTCCACACAGCCCTGAAAACATCAGATTTGAGTCACATTAGGGCAAAAAAATCAGATTTGTGCCACTTCAACCTGGTAATGTGAACGTAGCCTTATGGATACCTGAATATCAAAATTAGTCAAAATGCAAATCGACTGTAGCTAATCGAAGCTATGGAGGTCTGAAATGACAACAGCTTACCAGCTACCAAACCAACTTCAGCTTTGACTTTTGTCAAAATATAGAAATCGTTAATGTTGGAACACTACAATGCAACATCATTGAATTTAATAATAGAAGAAAACAATGTTACACTACCAACCTAGATCATGTGGTTGCTAATCAAAAGCAGCCTTTAAGCAACATTGGCAAAGAATATGCCACCATGCTTAATGTTAGCAAGATTCCACACAAAAAACAAAACTGCATTCAATTTATCTTAAGAGAGTAACCTTCTGCATGCACATAAAATAAATACCAAGCCAATGCTCTTTAAAGATTGTTGCTACAGAAAAAAACAGCCGCTACGAAAATGACGCATTTGTGGCCGGAGCACGGTCAGGTCAACTGGAGACTGTGTTAGTACAACATCACCACTTAGTAAAGAGCTCACTGACAGGACAAACACCTTGCACAGTTCTGGAAATGCCAGACTACGAGAGCTCGTACAGCATTTACTATCTTCAGGGTTTAAAGAGGTCTTTATTTGTAGACACACAGAATGAGAACATCTATTTATAATGATTGTCCAATTGAGGCTTTTTATTTTAGACCAAAGTACTTTAAGTATTAAGACTTTTTGGGCTTCTTCCCTAAAGATTCCTAAAATGAACATGTGGATAAATGAAAATCTGAAATCGGCACTTGCATATTCATCTGCATCTTCTCCTGTTGAGATTGTTGTTGAAATTATTTTCCTTATTTCCAGACATTTTTACTTGTTTTGAGTAATTTTATTAAGTAAATTTATCTTACAATGTTGGCAGATAATTTTGCTTGTTTTGAAATCTGCTTGAAACCGGAAAAATTATCTGCCAGTGTAGTGAGATAATTTTACTTAATAAAATGATCTAAAACAAATAAACAATTTCTAGAAATGAGCTAGATAATCTTATAATAAGTGCACAACCATCTCAAATGGGACATATAACATAGATTGACTAGAGTTAAGATCATTTCACTTGACATAATACCATTTTTCTGCAGTGTGAAAGGAATTTGAAAGGTTCACACTGAGGATTAATATAATTGTAAATGTACAGGCTGTCAGATTAAATGATTTACGTCCCATAGAATCATTTATGTGCCCAGCGTTTATTATGGAGAAACAGGGCTGCTATTATTGTTCTTTTTTCATTTGAGAGGCTTCTATTTGGGTTCTATTTGGGTTATCTGGGACAAAATATGAGAATGGATCCCTTAGACAGATCATCTCTTAGGAAGGCATGTAATCCTGATGCGAGTGCCCACAGAAAGCCAAATGGCATCTCCAGAAAAAGAAAATCCAGCCTACATTGCTTCTTTTGCAGAACAGTTCATTGTTTTACAGATAGAAACGCTATGAATGTTTCAACATCATTAATCTGTATCAAGTACAGTCTTTCTTTCGACTCCATGAGGGTGAAAAATGAGTGAACTGGCCACATTATAGGAGTGTCAACACAGGATCTCCAACTACAAACAATGTGCTCAGACTTGTGTTGAGCAATGGAAACACTAGCTGCCTGTCCTGAATCCTTGGAGGGCGTGTAGATGAAAAGCTTAAAAAGCTAGCTTGTGATAATGGTAAGTTCATTACTGGCGTAGGATTTGATCAGATAGCTTAAATCAGTCCAGTAAACTGACCATCCATGCTCTGCTCACAGATGCATTCTCTTTTGCAGCAAATGTTGCCAGGTTGTACAAGCTTTACCGAATATTTGTAACCTAATGAACAGAGGCAGTGCATAACTAATATATTTAAATTAAGTATAAAAAAATGCTAAAATATGGTCTGTGAGTCGCCTGAAATTCTCCATTTGGAGAGGGAATTCAGGTGGATACATTTAAAAAAAAACAAAAAAAAAACACTTAATTTCTTTTATACCAAAACTAAATAGTATGTCCACTAACATCTCCTATTACCATACATGGAAAGAGGAGAGCTTAATTCCAAACGTATATTACTGTCACTGGTGTTGTATGAATATGGTGTAACACCAGTGACTGTGACACCAGTGACATTCTGGTTAAAACTGAGGATTTTGTAAATTGGCTGACTCACTGATGATCAGGCGACCTTGTGCAATTATTTAAAATCTGTAATAAAAAATGATATCTGGCATTATTTTGACAAATTTTTAATTACAATGCCATTAAAGCACATAACACCGGTGGCACACAGAGGTTATGTGCTGCCTGACAAACAAAATTATTAATAAATTAATAAAAATATAGTGAGGACTTGAGATGCTTCCTCTCTGATTAGCCTCGACCCAAAGAAGCAGCTTAATAGAACAGAAAATACTATGTTAAAATGTAAAATAAGAGTCCTGATAACACCAGTGACCAAAATCTCTGACAAATGATTTTTTAAAAATAAAATATATATTTTTTAAATGTAGTATAACGTTAACGATATAAAAAGTAAACATGAATCTGTTTTATATAAATTCCTAAACTTTAAACCTCTTAAAAATTTTGTTTTATGTTCAAAATGGCTACACAAATATTGAACATTGGTTTTGTGAAGAGCTGTTTTACAGATGCAGAGCGATTATGAAACAGGATAAGAAAAAAAAATTTGAGAAATTATAAGGAAAAAGTATAATTTAATCTTAGGTCAAATGGAGAAGGACCCAAATAATAAAAGTCAGAGGTGTCGGGTCACGTTCGGCGGGGGTTTTTTTTCGGACCACGTCACGTCTTTAAGTGTTAACATCACTCACAAAAACAGGGTCTTATGTTTGTTTCGTTCAGAGAGATCTGCTGAATATATTTCGCCATATAACTGAGCCAAGGTTGGTGTCAAATACATTGTTGCTTCCGACCTGCTTAGCTTCAGTCAGCTACAACAACACAGTCCAGCTTGGCATTTTAAACTGTAAACTCAACGTTATGTGGCGATGATAAATAGTGTGCTTCAGTTTCTCATTATGTCGGGTGGGATTTTTGCCTACATTCTGTAAGGCTTGTTCAACCGAGCAGTAATAGCTGCAAAAGAACGCATCTGAGGGCAGAGCATGTACAGGTCAATCAAGTGGAGTGCTCTGGACTGACAGTATAAAGCAGTTCTATGCCTTTCTGAAGGTTACATAACGCTGAAAGTCCTGTTCCTCTGGTTGTAGTTGGATTGGTCGGTTGGTTTGAGGCCCCGTGGTCATCCACTGGAGAGCTACAAAGGGCCTTTGAACTGATTCCCGGAGAGATGTTGCCGGATGGATGGCTTGGAGCCTGCTGCATCACCGAGCTTACGCCACACCACCTGAGCACAGAGAGAGAGAGAGAGAGAGAGAGAGACGGGATGGGGTAAGAGAAAGAGGGAGCCAGAAAGAGATAACAAGCAGAAAATGAGAAAATGAGAGAGAGAGAGAGAGGGACAGAAAGAGGGGAAGAAAGAAAGACAAAGAGAAAGAGAAAAAAAGAAATATAGAGAGAGAGGGAGAAAAGGAAGAAAGACAGAGAGGTGAACAAAGAGAGGAAGAGAGAAAGTAAGGAATAAAGAGAAAGAACACATGAAAGAAAAACAGAGAGAGAGAAGAGGAATAAAAGTAAAGAATGATGAGGAGAGAGAGAGAAAAGAGAGTAGTGAAGAAAGAAATACGAAGAAAAAGAAATTGACATTAAGAAAAAGGATTTAAGAGACAGAAAATGAGAGGAATAAAAGGAGGAGGGAGGGAAAGGGAAATAAGAAAGAAAGAAAGAGAAAAAGAGGAAAAAAGACAGAGAAAAAGAAAAAGAGGAAGAAAAAGGAAGGAAAGGAAGAAAGACAGAGAGGTGAACAAAGAGAGGAAGAGAGAAAGGAAGGAATAGAAAAAACAGAGAAAAGAAGAATGAAAAAATAAAGAAAGAGATGGGGAGAGAAAAGAAATAATGAAAAAGAGTAATGAAAAAGGACATAGGAAGAAAAAGAAATTGACATTAAGAAAGCGGGTGGAAGAGAGAGAGTAAATGAGAGGCAGAAAAGAAGGACGGAGGGAAAAGGAAATGAAGAAAGAGAGAGAGAGAAAGAGGAAAAGAGGAAGAAAGATAGAGACAAAGACAGGGAAAAAAGGAAGAAAGACAGAGAGGTGAACAGAGAGAGGAAGAGAGAAAGTAAGGAATAAAGAGAAAGAGCACAAAAGAAAAAAACAGAGAGAGAGAGAGAAAAGAGGAATACAAAGAAAAGTAAAGAAAGAGATGGGAAGAGAGAAAAGAGAGCAATGAAGAAAGAAATAGAAAGGAAAAAGAAAAAGAAAGAGAGAGGGAAGAGAGAGAGAGAGAATGTTATACAATGCTTCACTTTTCACTTAGAGGTACAGGCTAAATTGGGGGGGGAGTCACAGGGGGCTGATGACACACTAAGACATGAAGGCCAAATTCCACTAAAGCTCAGTGAATGTAAAGAGAATAAAGGATCCATTGTGGCCGCATGTCATCTCTGTGATTGTGCCTTTGACAGGCGGAGCGCTCCGAGCGCAGAGTCATCCGTGCGGGAACAGTGTCAGTGTCCAGGTCCCAGACTGCACTGCCTGTCACATGTATGTGCGCGGAAGCCTCTAGCTTTGCTCCATCTCTCCACAGATCAGTGCAGGAGCCCAAAAGACCCGCATTGTTCTCAGCACTGAAGTTATTTTAATTGCTCTGACAACTGTGCCATAAACACCACAGAGCCCCCTTTACTGAGGCTTCTAATTAAAGCTGCGTGAAAAAGTGGGCTTCTTTTGGGAGGGTAATTGAAACAACGTCCTCCATCAAAGCCAAACAAACACGAGGAGAGGGAGCGCAAACCCACAGTCTATCCACCCTAACAGAGCTCACAGTGGGCTGATATATACGACCATTACAGCAATTTTACTGTAACATAATGCTGATTTTTACTTTTAGTGATAGTAAAAGATACTAATATTTTTAATATTTTAATATTCTTGTCGCAGCCTCTATAACTCATAAGATACCTGTATATCGCTGCTGCCGGAACAAAACCTCGTATCTCTATTTTTGTTGTTCTTCAGTTTTTGACATAATTTAAAATGCCTGTTGCTCTTTATATTGTGTGCAAATTTCTTGATGAATGAACCGAAGGACGTGGCCCAAAATTACCTGGACAAAACGTCTGGTTCCATTGACTTACATTAAAAGTAAAGTATGTTTTTTCCTTCTCCTGTAGATTTGAGGTTTTGTTCCAACAGCAGTTTGTTACAAATAGCAATGGTGTAGAAATCTACTGCCTACTCCCAAAATGAGCAAGTGTCCAATACAAAGAGTTCTGTTATTACAACCTGCCCAACACTGGGGGCAGATTAAAACAGTCAGTGGAATAAAAAGAAACAAAAAAACAATTGAGCTACATTTGTACCCTTTATTTGGGTATTTGGGTACACTTATTTAAAACAGGAAAGAAACCAGAAAAACACCACAGTATCTAGTTTCTGATACACTGTACAATTGCACTTATTTATGAAAATCTAGTAACCCTTACTATTTCCCTGCTGTCAGAACAAAACCTCATATCTCCAAAATGGTAACTTTACAGGAGAAGGAAAAAACATACTTTTAATGTAAGTCAATGGAACCAGACGTCTTTCCAAGTAATTGTGGGCCATTTCTTTTGGTCCAATCTAATGTGAAATTTAAACACAATGTAATTATATCAAAAACTGAAAAACAACAAAAATGGAGATACAAGGTTTTGTTCCAAAGTTACTTAAGTAAAGCTAGCTCAGATCAATTAATTTGGGTAAGTTCTAAAGACTGAGGAGTCTTTTGCCTCAAAAAGCTTCCCAGCATTCCTAGCGGTTTTGTTGGTGTCTTTTAATTAACTCAATTTTTGCGTTACAGGATATTCTTCCACTTAAAATTAGGGTTGGATGCATTTTGCATGTTTTTGTTATTCTGAGCATGATGGTGTTTTGTGTTGAGGTCAAGGCAATGAGCCTAAACAGTTTTTTTTGAGTAAAGTGAGGTTATTTGAAGTAATTAAATGAGCTTAATGTAGAGGTTAACCTGGCTAGGCGGATCAAAGTTGACCTAACTCATTCAAGAGTAAGCAGAACATCAAATAGTACAGCACTGTCAGCTCAAGTGAAAGTATTTAAAGAATTACTGGGCAGTTTGAGTAAACTATGCTTGGTGTAGAAGTGTGGATCAATGGAAATGAGAACGTACCTATAACTCATATACAAGGTTATTTAAGTTTGAACCTATTATGTAACTTTACTTAACTGTTTTCAAGGCAATAAGTTTGCACAATTTTTAGGTCAACTAATTTAAGTTTACAGTGTAGGTGAAACTGGGGCGGTACAACTTACCCCATTTTACAACACTCCCTGGTCTCCCCTACTTAGTTAAATGGCATGTATAGCATTTGCTGATGCTCTCAACTTGACTATTGTAATGCTTTGTTCATAGGACTTTCTATAAGGAGAACAAACAGACTACAACTTGTGCAAAATGCAGCAGAATATTAATACAGACTAGAAAACAGGATCATATTAGAGCAGTTTTAGCTTCACTCCACTGGCTGCCTGTCTCTTTTAGAATCGACCATAAAATTTTACTACTAGTTTCTAGATCTCTTTTTGCTGCTTTTTAAATGGAATTATTATTAATACAACCACCTTTTCTGCTATTTATCATTTGTTTATTTTATGTTTGATTATCTTTTTTTTTTTCTTTTTTTTTAATAATTTTTACCCCAATTTTCTCCCCAATTTAGTCGTCTCTAATTCCACCCCGCTAGTTAGGACTCCCCCAATCACACAACGCTATCAACGCTAGGAGGGTGAAAGCTTTTTTTTTGTTCCCCAGTTGTTTTTAGTTTGTATTGTAAAGCACTTTGAGATGCACTTGTAACATATGAAAGGCGCTATATAAACATTATTATTATTATTATTATTATTATTATTATTATTATTATTATTGTTCAAATAATTTGGGCATAGCAGTCTGAAACGAAACTAAATAAACATTAAAGCCACCATTCCACTTCAAACAAAAAACAACACTTAGAAGCAATGTAATGTCTTTTTGGTCAAAATAACACAGTAGTTTAATTTTATACGGTGCATGGTCAACAGATCTCCTAACCACTGTGTCGACTGTTATGAAACCTCCCCTGTCTGTGATTGGTCCACTGCACAAAGTGTGATTCTAGGGGCGCTGAAACACAGTTTTCTTTCTAAGCATACGTACGGCAGCTTGTTTAATTTTGTTTATTTCTTTCATTGTTTGAAGCTTACATCACTTCACTGTGGTTTTAGTAATACCTAAACTGAAGACACAAGCACACTTACATTACACATCTCCCTGACGATGGCTTTCTCCTTCTCACTGAGATCCTCCTCGTAGTCTTCAGGAATCTGTCTATCCAGGTTCTCATGGACCTCCAACACCTACAGCATGGAAAAAAAGAACAACATAACATCAGGGGGGTCATGGGACTCCATCACTGGACTGTTTGTTCTCATCAGCAGGGCAGAAGAGGACTAATGATTGTTGCAGGGTTACATTCGTTCATCATCCCTCTTTTATCTCATGAGCCCCTCCAGCACAAAAACGCACCTCTAAATGTTGAACATCCAGTTCACTAACACAGAACACTGAGGCACAGCTTCTGATGAATGTGCATGCGACATGCAGACTGATATGATTACCATTTCTCAATTATTTCTCAAACATTTCTCAAATTCAAACAGCAGAAACTCACACACTGCAAGTAAAATTATCTTAAATATAGTCAATAAAGGTAATATTTCTCCTGTTGAGCTCATTGTAAGCTTAACTTAAGATTATTTACCCTATTTCTAAACATTATTTCATGTTTTCAGTAAGTTTTAAGTAATTTAGTTAGGTAAAATTATCTCACAATGTTGGCAGATAATTTTACTTGTTTTAAGAAATGTGCTTGAAACCAGCAAAATTATCTGCCAGTATAGTGAGATCATTTTACTTGATAAAATTACCAAAAAACAAGTAATGTCTAGAAATAAGATTATATATATCTATCTATCTATCTATCTATCTATCTATCTATCTATCTCGAGTAGATTTGAGATAATTTCACTTGACAAGATACCATTTTTTGCAGTGCAGTGTGAATGAGGGGGGACATATTTCAGAGCTGTAAGAATGGATAAAACGTTCTATAAGTACGTGAATGGGGGGGGGGGCATTCTAACATGAAGGAGGGAGAATATACATTTATCAATATATTTATGACATTTGGCAGATGCTCTTATCCAGAGCGACTTACAATTTGATCATTTTACACAGGTAGGTAACGGTAGTGTTAGGAGTCTTGCCCAAGGACTCTTATTGGTATAGTGTAGGGTCCTTGCCCAGGTGGGGATTGAACCCCAGTCAACAGCAAAGAAGGCAGAGGCCACTATGCTATACCAACCACACTACGCTATATCAACCAATTCTATTCTTCTATTTTCTATTCTACACTATACCAGCCTATTCCTATACCTATTCTTGAACAGTGTGAACAGTGGATATTCTAACTATGTGAATGAGGGAGCGAATTTTAGAAGAGTGTAAATGGAGGTAGACGTTCTAGAAGAGTATGAATGTGGATGGATATTCTAGATAAAGGGTGTCAAACTCAACCACTAAAAGAGACATATTAAAAAATCTCAACAAATCTGTGGGCCAAACAACGCTTTTGTTTTTATTTCATTTTCAATTAATCTTCTGCTGTAACCCAAACTGGCCACTGTTTCTTCAAAATACACAAAAACGTCAGCAGTAAAATACAGACACTTGTAGTAAACCTTGAAATATTACATGAATATTTGAAATATTTAATATTTAAATGTCCCGAGGAGCTCAGTCTGTTAAACCTATCAATTTGCTTGAACTGGACACCTGACATCCTTTCTTTGCTGCAAGTTTATGAAGACTTGGGCTGAATTTCTGAGCTGCTGAGCTACATTAGGTGTAAATGAAGTTAGTGTGTTTGGTGATATGACTGGTGTGGAACTGTGTAGAACTGAGGTATAACTGCTGTCCCATAGACTGCTGTTGGGGTAGGAGAGTCAGAGCACATATTACGTTGCAGTGCATGCTGGGGACTGTAGTGCAGCGCACTGTGAAACAGGCTAATATTAATAGAAAATTACAATTCTTTTGCAGGCCAGACAGGTTTGTGTCGCAGGCCTGATTTGGCCCACGGGCCTTGTGTTTGACACATGGGTTCTAGAATGATGAAAATGGGGAGAACATTCCAGAACAGTGTGCGTGGTAGAGGACATTTTAGAACAGTGTGGAGGGGAGGATGTTCTAGAGGAGTGTGAATAGAGGTGGGCATTCTAGAACGATGTGAACGTGGAGGACGTTCTAATACAATGTAAATGAGATTTCATGAGACATTATTGGTGGGATTTCTGTCAATGCAAACAAAGAACCGCAGAACCAAATGTAACGTTTTTGTGGTGCTTATGAATCAACCACTGTTGAGACTATAACAAATAGCTGTACCTTCATGGCATGAACCACAGCCTCAGGTTTCTGAGCCGATGGCAGGTAGCTGGTGATGGGGGACGGCAAATCTCCACTGGGGAGCCGGGCGGAACCCTGTGGAGGAAAAACTCACGTTGAGTGTTGAATCATCGCACAAAACAAATAAACTCAAATCATTCATCAGTCGCTAAGGAGACAGCTTAAGTTACAGTGATTTCAGAAGCAGACGTGTAAGTTGTTGGAACAGGTTGGGCCTGTTTTTCGGGGTTAACCCAGGCACAACATGGGTTAAATCATCTCATTAGGACTCATCTCTGCTAGTGTCCCCCCCGTGGGTACGGAGCGCAGAGTGCATCAACAAAGAGCTCTTTGAATGGGCACGGCCTCGCGCAGCCCTGTTTAGACACAGCCCTTTGAGTTCCAGTCTAGCGTTAAATCCACAACAATTGAGCCGGCATTCCAGCAGTGGGGCCGGGAGCAGAGCGCCGAGCGAGAGGAGCAGCCGCTCACACTCGGCCTGCGCTGCTCATTTCCAGCTACCAGTGGGATCACTGTGGGCTGGGCCTGAGCGCATCACATCCAGTACTGATCAGGGTGTAACAATACATCGATTCTGCTTGATGCATTAATTCTTATAAAGGTACATGGTGTTATGAATTTACTGCACGTATATCAATCTGTACCATGAAACTTTTTTCATAGCAGTTTTTTTCTGTTTTCTGAGGTCAAAGCTGACATATGCTTATTACTTTTAATTGAATTATACCACCAAAAAGTGAGTGATATATCCAAATATATCATCATGATGCTTGAAGACATTTCATAATGTACAATATGTTTCATTTCATTTGCGAACAAATTCAAATAGACAAAATGCAGCAGCAAAACAACAGTGCCACATTCACACAGTGAGTTCAAGCTTAATCTTTGTCTAATAAAAGACAAACTAAATAAATAATAATTCAAAAACATAATCAGTAAATGTTGTTGTTGTAGTACATTTTTATTTTTAATTTGGCCACAGAACTGTAATCAAGTAAAATCAACTAGCTTTGCTGCCCGAGACCGTTTTGTCTGACGTCTTGAAACCTGATGCTGTGGTCTGACGATGTCCTAATAAAGGTACACTATAGCATAGGTGGCCACAGCATTGTACAAGCTTAATATCTGCCTGCCGCAACCAAACACTGTGACCTCAGTAAGCCCTTCCTGTTTACTGCAGTAACACCATTAACTGTCACAGGACACAGGTCAAAACTAGTATACTTAATAGTATAATTACTATATGTTGTTTCCAGGCTCTGACTAATCGGTCTAATCTGGCCTGTTTATGAAACGTGCTGTTGTTCTAGGATTACTGATAAAATCCATGAAAAAAATGAATTGTGACCTAATTTATCATGATAATGATAACATAATCTCACATTGCCCACCTCTAATCACATCAAATCCATACCATAGTACCATCTGAAGTGTCTACATAATTGTTGCCAAAATCATAGTGTAAGATGGTAAAGCCTAACGTTTACTGCTAGATCTGGTATGGGTCCACACCGGCTCACAGGCTATGGTCAGAATGAACTGCACAGGGTAGAGATGCAACGATCATGAATTTTTATGGCCAGTACCAATTTGTCTGCAGCCAAATTGGCCAATAGCAGATTTTTTGGGTGATTTTTATTAGCCTCATTTTTTTTTTAATACGAGGTTTACAGTGTGAGCACATAAAAAAAGACCAGCACATTTCCAGAACTTTCTATTAGCCAAACTCGCAATATAAACAACATTATTTGCTCTTTACTTGCTCAAACTGGTATTTAATTGTTTTTTCAGTTTTAAATCAGTTGCCTATTTAGATAACATGAAAAAAGCACTACATCAAAAGTAAGAGGTACTGACCTCGCTCATGTTATTCATGCCACAAAATTGCGACTGGTCTGTCAAAATAAAAACAATACATTTGCCAGTTGCTAATTTCATGTTTTAAGCAAAAAATCTACCGATTCACAAAATAGCTGAATCCAACTGTGCATCCACAGAAGAGGGGCCAGTCCCATGACACAAGGCCCTCTCAGTGGGCCATAATTGTCAAACCGCGGTCAAAAACAAGGAAAAAAGCACCTCTAAGATCATGCTAGTTTCTGCTAGCATCCTCATGGGATTCTAGTAGTTAGTGCTAAGCTAACAGCGATTCACATGAACGTTTTTGGCCATTTTGGGATTAAACACTGACATTTAAAGTTTTTAAAAGACAATCCATGTTTTATTGGAATCTTATAGTAGATTACCTTGTAGCAGTTCAGTAAAGAGCCCTGGTATAGAGCTGAAGCTGTTTTCTTTTCTAACAACTGACAAACACATTGGCCAGGCTACCGCTCATGCTCACAGTCAGTTATGTATCTAGGCCTAAAGTGAAGATTTTTCTCACAAAATCGTTCCTGCCCACTGGACATCTAAACATCATTGGTTGATTCCATTGTCACTGCTCAGAAATGAGTGCTGTGTCGGCGCTGTACTGTCCTGTCTGTTTACCGTGTCTAACGTCTGTTTTATTTATCGTATTGTATTGTTTGCAGTCTAATTCTTTTTGCACACTTATGTCTGCACGTTGCACTTTGTACTGTCTATTTTGTTTCAAGTTGCACCATGTTCCTTGGACTTTGTACTTGTACATAGATGGCATGACAATAAAAGCCTCTTGACTTGACTTGACTTGAGCCATAATAGTGGTTAATCTTAGGACTTCAGTCCAGCTCCTGAAGTCCTTACCAATCGGAGAGCTTGCTTGGCTGTATCTACCTAGATACCACAGAGAAAAGAAATCCTTACTGCATAATTTTTTGCTGCCTGTTTCAGATTTGACTCCTCGCATGATGATTATATGATATAAAAACGAACTATAAATTACAAATATGTAGTTTATTCTTTATTTTCCAGAAATCATTAGGCCTCTGAGTGGAGGCCATACATCACATTAACAACCTACTTAAATTTATTGTCACACCAAAAAGAGAATTATGCACTTTCTTATTATGTAATTTTACCAGCATTATGCATATTTTCAATGCAAATTCCAAGCAAGGTATATTAGTATGTTATTATCATTGTGACCATCCCACTGAAATCCCTAGGAAACGAGTGTGAGAGCATGTTTCAGTGACATTACACAAATACATGCTGATGGAGAGACGAGGAAGCAATCAAACCCATGTTGCTGTGCCCATTTCTGGAGCCCTGCCACAGTGAACATCTGTGTGATCGGCTCAGAGGGGGCCCCTAATTACACAACATTAGTCTTCTATGAGCTGTTGGCCAGCTAAAATCCTCTGGGAACAGCATCCTCCCCTTGATCCTGTGGGCTACCTGCAGCCTAGCAAGCAGCAGGACATTACCATCTTCGTCCCCGCACCACTGTAGCAGGGGATTACCATCATTCTGCCTGGACTGGATCCTAATCATTCATTTGAGGAGCATCTGAAAGCCTCCATTTACTTTGGACAGCCTCCCAGCCAGGCTTGACTTTAGAGGCGTGAAGCCCCTGATGATGCGCTAAGCGGCCCAAAGCCGCTCGAATGCTGGCTAGCGAGATGCTAGCCCACACAGCTGAGAACACAGGCTTAGGGGCTGAGCGTGGGTAAAGCTTCGAAAAAACAAACAGACCGAAGACAACTGGGCAGTTCTTAGAGTGCCAGACAAACTCAGAAGAGCTTGACCTCAGGCCACCCTCTGCCTTCGACAGGCTTATAGAGCAATAAAAAAGCCATCAGAGGCTATTACCCACCGTTAAGAAAGACAAAAAGGCCCTACACAATAAATCCATTAAGACTGACTAAGCCTCATAGGCAATAAATAAAAATTTCCTGCCGTCAACCAAATACTTGGTCTGCCTCGAGAGGATGATAGAGGAGGCGATGGATGGATACAGATACCACAGATACAGAGAGTGATGGGAGAAACGAGCGAGACAATCACATATTTGGCTTCATGTATAGGATTCGGGTCAGTCCAATCAAAATGACTTGTCCCTCTGCTGCTTTGACATGTTTTATTCTTGTGTAGAACTCACAAAGCACTGAAAGTAAGACTTTAAAACTGAGAACGGCATTTATTGTTTGACATTTTCTGCCAATACACCCCCTTTTCTCAGCTGAGGTTTCATTTTTAAGGATGAATTTTAAACAACATCTGAATGGCCAATGACATCAGTTGATACTGATGACCCATGATTTTTGCCAATCCGATTAAATACATTCTGATTATAGATTAAGACTAAGGTGTTTATGCTCACTCTACTCAACAATCTGACGTAAAAACTCAATTTACATGCTCACTACAGGTAATCCAATCCACAAATACGCACGTGTAGAGAACCACTTAGTGTAGACGTTACCATGACAATGTGCATCACGTGAGTCCGGTCAGAGTGAGATGAGCAGCAGTGAGCAGTGCTTGTGTTTTCAGTCGCTTTAAAATGACGCCAGACTCAGGAAAACGTCCTTCACATGTCCTTATTAAAGAAGGCCGAGAGGAAGACGTCGTGTTCTGAGACACATAAGCTGGACGTCCGTCCCACCGCCGTCTTTTACAGCTCAAAGCATAAACTTCGTCTCCTCTGCAGACCAGTTTCTGCTCCCGCCATGTTGAACATTATAAACTTGCACTATGACATGAACAAACATGCGCAGAACATACTTAAATATTCCAATTGGGAACGTAATCAGATACAGGCGTTTACACGGATATTATTCTTCTACTTATTGCTTATTTACAGGATTATCCAGCTCATTCAATTGGATAGAAATTGTATTCCGAATGGCCTCAATCGGACTAGTCTAGCCCGACGGAGGTGTATGCATGGGTGAATTGTAGTCCGATTGAGCTATTAGTCGGACTATTAACAAATTATTAAGCTGCAAGTAAACGTGGCTAATCTGTGGCATCATTCAACCTTACAGTCTCCTGACGATGGTGAAACCCAATATAAAGCACCCCTTCTACAACCTGACAGCAATACATGCCGAATTGGTAAATGTTAATACAAAATAGATACCAAAAACATGGAAAATGTATTGAGACCTTAAGCATAACATGTTATAACACAAAACACTATGAAA